CTCCCTCTGGAAGGCAGAAAATCTCAGAGGTTTGAGCTTGGGCACAGGGACCAGACTGCCAGTTTTGAGTGTTAGTTCAGCCACTGAGAGTCGCTGATGGTGTTAACCTTCTGCGTCTCCACTCCCTCTTGTGCAAATGGAGATGATAACTACTCCTACCCCGGAGGATCGTTGTCAGGCTAGATGAGTTAATAAACACTGAGTAACGAATACAGAAGCTGGCACATAGTAGGTGTTTAATAAATGTTACTATTAGTCAGTTGTACCACAATGAGACTTCATCATACCCTGTCCTATTCCTTAGTTATTTACTCAATATGTGTATATCTCTTGGATTAGAATGTAAACTCTTCCTGGACAGGACTGTAACACGTGTATTTTTATAGCTGTGCCCCAGAGTTCCACAGTCCTAGGCATGCATATGCAATTTAACAAACATCAGTTTTACGAATTATGAAACCACCAATGCCAGAGGAAGAACTTTTTTTTTTAGCAAAGGAATAGCGGCTTCACTTTTCTGAAGTTAAGTATTGGTTACTTTTGGAGACAACTTTGTTTGGGGAAACTCCCCAGGATGTTTTTTAAGTTGCACACATAGAAGTCCCCCTGAGGATATGTGTGGTGCGGGCGCCGCTCTGTGCTCTGTTTAGAGTGACTGAGCAGATATAAATTTCTTAGATTATGTACTGAGACTGGGATGTGCAAAAATTTACATTTATTTTTCCAAAACTGATGTTATTTTATTGTTTGAGCTTTCATTTCCCCTTAATTAAATTTACTTAGTCTCTTGAAATGTAATGCTGCCATTCTAAATATGATTCTATCTCTCACTTCCCTTCCTCTTCTCCTTCACCAGCGTTCCTAATCTAAGCCCAACCAGGGCAAGGATAGATTAAGAAATTGAGCAAGAAGTTCTGGAGATTGTTTCCAACGCTGGGCATTTAATGAGCCTGGGAACGTGACTGTCAGAGGTTAGTATGTTACGTGCACCTCTGCAGAAAATAGGGCATTTTAAACTCACTCGATACAGCACTTTCTTTGTCCCTGGTTTTCTTTTTAACCTCACCCACATTTATTCATTCTGCCACCATCCCCCCCCACCCCCCGCCAGCTCCCCACCGTATGCACCCTATGTAAGGAAGAGACAAAGGCAAAGACCTCTGGCCTGGCTGACTTTTGACAACAGCCATAATAAAAACACATTTTTTTCTTGTACACAGAAGCACAAAACATAAGACACAAAAAAGGCACAAAGAGAAGTCTCACAGGAAAAAGCATCCAGAACATCTAAAGAAAATCACATCTGTTACCGTATTTATTATCTTTTCCGAGAAGTGAAGGTGTGAGATCCCTTGGGTGTCGGCCTGCAGGGAAAACATTTCTGTTCCACTAGAAATACCCTTACTGATTCCGATGGCACCGAAACACTGGCCCCCCTTCCAGAATGTCACCTGGTAACTGCTGGTCCTCAGGAGTGGGCCTGCACTCTTGCCCCCATAATAGCTGGTCTCATTTAAGGAAGGTTGGTGAGTGAAAAGGAAAGGTGAAGAGAAATGACCCCTCTTCGGGAAGCAGCGTTTTTTTTCTATAAAGTGACTTGGATAGGTTTCAGCTGAGGGAGGAACCATCCTCAAACTCTACCTGCTCTAATGAGGGCTTGTAGAAAGTTCTAGAAGAGTCTCTTGCTCAGAATTCTTGGAGTCACACCTTGCCATTGTATGAGTTCACTCCAGAATCCCTCAGTAGGTTACATGGCATGTGCTTATGTCGGCGCAAATGGAAATGTATAAATCAGTGTACAATCAGCCAGGTCTGAGGAGTTTACAGCCACCTTCGAAATACTCGTAGCAGCCCCAAATTGCAAAATCAGATTCTTGGCTTCAGCCCAAAGCAAAAGGTGCTGGTGTGGTCAGGGTACTGCTAAATGTGAGTGCGGAGAAACTTCTTTTAGGAACCACACATCCACTTTGGCTTTTGTTCTGAGATGGTTCTCCTGGGCTTCTCGGGGCATTTCTTAAGATCACATCTACTACCCCCAGCTGGGAGAGCTCACGTGGTCAGTCAGTCCAGCCCACTGGGCCCCGGCAGCCCGGGCTTGGCTGTCTTGGAGCTTATGACAAAGCCAGACGTTAAGCACTGCATGTCAGTGTTGTTTATGTAAAATAGTTCTGTTCTGTTAAGAAATCTTAAACAACACATTTCACAAAATAAACAACTTTTTGATAATAGGCTACAGAACCAAAGAAAACAAAGCTTAGTTACAGAGTAAAAAATCTTTCTGACTATACCAACTTAATTTTGACTCTTCCTTCTCACAGTCTCCACATAATTATTTTCAAAGCATCCCATTTCTAATAATAGATTAATAGTACCTTTCTTCCACTCAGCTGAAAGCTATAGAATCAGAAATGCCTGCTAGTCAGTTATCAGAGTCTAAATATTCCACCTGCTCCTTCTAGAATAGTGTGAGTACTTCCTTCTGAAGTAAATCTTCGCTGAGCAAAACCATATTTCTGAGATTCTTCTTGTCAAAGCAGAACTCTCCCTTTGAACTTCCCTTTCCAGTAATTTTATGCAAGGATGATGCTTTACGTCTAGAGAAAGACCTCCTTAACCTTTAAACACCAGACACTTATTTTCAAAGAATAAGCATCATTTTATACGGAATCAGAATACATTACCAGAAAAAACTGTAGAGAGACTACATCAAATCCATTCACTGACCTTTTGAGGCTGCTAGGAGAGAAGAAACTGGGACCTATTTCAGGGATTGACAGAAGAGGAAGAGAGGGAAGGAGGAGGCCAGGGTGTCCTGCCCATCTCACTGGGTGTAGTGGGATACCCCCGAGATGAATGCTTCCTAAGTAAGTTTCCTAAGTTTCCATTCGGTTATATACAGAGATTTTACAAACTTATACACAAAATAGATCTTTTTCACAACCACTCAAAACCTATGGGACACAGCAAAGGCAGTGCTAAGAGGGAAGTTTATAGCGATACAGGCCTTCCTCAAAAAAGAAGAACAATCTCAAATAAACAAGTTAACCCACCACCTGAATCAATTAGAAAAAGAACAACAAAAAGCCCCAAAAAGCAGCAGAAGGAAGGAAATAATAAAGATCAGAGAGGAATTAAATACAATAGAGATTAACAAGACCATAGAAAAAATCAACCAAACCAAAAGCTGGTTTTTTGAAAAAGTAAATAAAATCGACAGACCTCTGGCCAAACTCACAAAGAAAAAAGAGAGAGCACAAAATAGATCTTTTTAAAACTATTAGAATAATTTTAGGCTATCTTTAAAACCAAAATATGACATTTATATTAATAACTGTGGGAGGCAAGGGCTAGAATATGCAGAAGGATTAAAACACTGTAGCACAGCTCATGTGCTATGCCTTTCCACCATTTAATCTAAGGGATTCAGTTAATTACAATTTAGGGCTTTTAAAATTTAGAATTCCACATATGCTACTTTCTACTCTCTGTCATTACAGGCATCAATCCTGGCAAAAACAGAGCAGAAAAAAGTATCTGGCTAGAATTGATTATTACCACAGGACTGGAAAAGGTATTAAAGTGATCAGGGATAATTACCAAGTAGGAAAGAGTGATCTCAATTCTTTCCCGAAGTGTAGTTGAGTTTGATCTAGAGCAGTGCTTCTCAAGCTTTCATGTGTAAATGAATCACGTGGGGATCTAGTTAAATTGCAGACTGTTATTCAGTCAATGTGGACTGTGCCCCAAGAGTCTGCATCTCTAACAAGCTCCTAGGTAATGTCTATGCTGTTGCCTCAAAGATCATAGTTTAAGAAGCAAGCAAGAGCCTAGAACAAACTGATTGGTTGGCACAGGTCAGGGGGGCATACTGGTGCCGTGAAGCAAAGACTTTTCTCCACTGAGAGGTTGTGCCCAAAGTGCTAAAAGTAACATACTTCATTCAGTGGCTAGTGGAACCTGGACGTGAAGGATGAATAGTAAACACCATCTGTCGCCAGCAGAGAGCAGCAGAGGGCAGGGTAAATTGCACAGTACTTCACCATCACTCCCCCATCCCCTACACTCCCCTCAACACACACACCGACCACAGGCCAAACACCCTGGAGGGTAATTCCAATAAAGCTCAAAACAGAACACGAATAAGTGGGCAGCTGGAAAAGCAAGACCCTGAAAGAATCAGCTTCATGGAGGGAGATGTTCAGATGGGCCAGAATAAACCCACAGGAGGGTTCCACTTTGTAGCAGTGGAAATGACACCCATCCGGAGACCCAAGATTCAATTCAGCAGAAACTAAGGAGCAGTGCCTTTGGGCCAGCCACACACTCACCATGAGCCTTAACTCCCCCATCAGTAAAACTGGAAGAAGTGCAAAGGGTGATCTCTAACGGGCGTTTCCCACCTCCCCCTTCTGTGATCAGTGCTCCGGTTCAGACTTGGAGGAAACTGCAAGGATACCTATCCTACAGCCAAAGGGCGGGGAGTCAGAGAGAGGACCTAGCCAGTGCTGGTCACCCTGCTGGGCGAGGCCGAACAGGGCCTGTGGATGGGCAGTGAGTCCGTTTGGTCTGAAAGCCAGGGCTCTGAGGCAGCTTTGGGTTTTTATTGTTGGTTTTTTTATCTGTTATCAAAGCTTACATGCAAACTGCTTTAAGGTAAAAAGGAATTAAAGGCTTAGAACCAAAACAACCATCTCCTGTCCCCCTTACCTCCTCATCCTTTTCCTCAGAAGCAATGTCTTTGAATTCTTTTAGTTTTTTCCTCCAATTTGCCTTAATATTTCCAAACAATATGAATAATCCTATTACTTAATCCAGTAGCTATGGACTTTTTACTGTGGTGGATTAGGATATTAATTCAATCACACCATTTCTTCCCCTTCATTATTCTCCAAATACAATTTAGCTTATTTTTGGAGGGTGTCTATATTTGTCACCAGAAAAGACCGTAAACAATTCCTGGGAACTAAAAATAGAATCTGGGTAATAAAATAAAGTCTAACCTGTTTCTTTTCCTTTGTGTTTCGCTTACTGTGACTTCTCACAGGGGGCCGCAAGCAGGGGCCTCGCACTGGGCCCTTCAGACCAGACCTCCTAGTGCCAAACGCAGCGGCCGCCACTTTAGCTCAGCGTGGCCGTGTGCGCAAGCGCTGCACGTGACCCCGCGATTCCAGGTGGCGTGGGGGTGGGGGTCGTGTGCAGAGACGCTGCGGCTACGCTGTATCCAGGGCAGCACGCCTGCGCCGCCCGGGGAGGGCGGGCTCCTCCCCCCTCCCCCTCCCCTAGCTGATCACCCTAGACAGCACCTGCCCGGGAGTGTGCGCTCTAGGGCACAAACTCACATTTCTCCATTCTCTGCTGGAAGAATAAAGCTTTCCTTTGCTTCTGAACCGAACTGTCACGTTCTATGGCTTCCTACACAGGAAGACCCTGGTTAGGGCCCCGACTCAAAAAGGTCGGTGACACAGTCACTGCTTCTATTAGTGTGACAGTACAACTGTTATTCAAGTACCGTATTAGGTCAAGTAATATACTGTGATTATATTTAGTCTCTTGTACAATTTTCTGTTTATTCTAGAATTAATCATTGTTTTATTTGCTTAGTTTACTTTGACCGTCTGGTTACATTTCACACACACCCCAGCACCTTTCTAAAATGTCCTTCCTAAGACAATTTTCCACGTAGGGGAATTTGTCAGATTAGTCTCAGTTTCACACTTTTGTGGTGGGTCCTGTTTCCTGGGTCCCATCCTTCTCCCTGTTGTTTTTGTCCCCGCAACCCCGAGGTTAGTGGAGCAAATCCTCCAGTAACATCCACCAACCCTAGGTCAGTGCCTCCTTGGTCACTGGGGTCTAAGGCATGTTCTCCAGTGGGGTCCCCAGGAAGAACTCACGGAACCAACGCTCCCTAAGTTTTGGCATGGTCATGCCGGGAGGTCTGAACTCTATTTGAAGGTAAGTTTGGCTGGATATAAACTCAGCTTACATTTTCCTTCCTTGAGTATCTTAATTATGTTATTCCGTTGTTTTCTGGCAAAACACACTGCTCTAGAACAGTCTGATGAAAACTGATTTCCTTTCACTAGTGTGTGGGTTGTGTTTTAGCCTGGACACCCTGAAAATTTCTCCCTTTCTCTCCTTCAAGTCCCAAATGCTTACTAGACTAGGTATTGGTGTTGGTCTTTGGGGGTCAGTTTTCCCAAGTTCTCCCTTTTAATCTGAGGCTTGAAATGATCCTTTATTTCAGGAAAATTTTTCTTGAATTATAAATTTTAGCATTTGTTGTACTCCAGTTATTTGGTTTTCTTCTTTGAGGACCCCACCATATGTATATATTGGATCATCTTTGCTTATACTTCTGCCACTTACTCTCAAGTTCTGTTTCTTCATTTCTGATTGATTTTAAAAATTCTTCCTTTTCCTTCCATTTTCCTAATGCTTCTATTTCTCTAAGGCAGTATCTAATATGTTTAATTTCTTTGGTTTTCCTCCTAGTTTTTTTCATTTCTGAATTTTTTCCTCTTATTTTTCCTTTTGTGAATTGTGTTATTTCTCAGTTAAGTGTCCCACTTCTTCAATATCTCACTTCTGAGTTTTTCTAATTCTGATTTCTATTGTTCTCATAATTTCTATCAATTTCTTTTAGCTTATTTTGAAATCAGTGCACAATTGTCACCTGCTTCATGGATATATTTTTCTAGAAACTTACATTGAGTGGGAACATTATTTCACTTTTTATTCTCCTTTTTAAATAATTGTATTAATTCACTCACAATCCTTTTTTTTGTTGCTCATTTTTCAGACAGATGAGTTTTCCTTTTAAGAAGCCCAGTTAAGTGAACAGCTTTTCTAGTTTCATGGCCCTACAATTCCCTCTTCTGTTTTTGAGGAAATGAATGTATGGCCTTGAGCTTTTTGAAATGTACCTTCTGGGTTCCCCTCTCCTATTTTCGTCAGAACTTCTTATTCCTCCTCCATCACTACTTCCAGCCTCAGTTTGGATTCTCCTCCCAGCAGTTTCTTCTCAGTGCAGAACTTTGCCCACGCTGAGAAGGGAGCTTTCAGTTTTTAGTTTCTAGAGTTGGTAGCACTCAGACTACCCTCGATTCTCTCTCACTAACTGTAGTCTCCAGCTCGAGTCACAGATTCAACTCAGACTCGGGTATGGATAAACTCTAAACACAGTGGTCTTTTTACTATAATTCTTTGAAAGCTAGAAAATGTGTGCTGGTTCCACGCTGCTCCCACATTCTACTCCTAGAGTTTCTTGAGGGGAAAAGAGGTGGAGGGATAAATTAGGAGTTTGAGATTTGCAGATACTGACTACTATATATAAAATAGATAAACAACAAGTTTATACTGTACAGCACAGGGAACTACATTCAGTATCTTGTATCTACCTATAATGTATCTACCTATAATGAAAAAGAATATGAAAATGAATATGTATGTATATGTATGTGTGACTGAAACATTATGATGTACACCAGAAACTGACACATTATAAACTGACTATACTTCAATTTAAAAAAAAAGTATGTCACTTTAAGAGGCAAAGTCTGAAAGGATTCAGGGAGAGGGACAATGGTGTAATTTATGAATCATCTTGAATCCCCCTCCACATAAGAACTGACAGAGCAACTATTAATTTTGAGTTTTTGTTTTTCCAACATCATTTTTAAAATTGGAGACTCACTGTATCCATGGTTTTGGTTTTACTACCCCAGTTGTTCTGTCAGAGTGCCTGAGTTTGAGGTGAGTCTGTGACCTTGGGCTTACATAATCCACTCTTATCATTTGTAAATCGACTAAAGAATAATAATAATACTTTGGAGTTATCGAAATAAGATGAGATGATGTCAGGAAGTTGAAACAGGAAATTGCCTATGATTTAACCTGACATTTAAAAAACTTACTTATAAATTGTAAAATGATATGCCATTGTTAGTTATTTCAAAATAGATTTATGAAATATGTGAAAACCAATCATTTTATGTTTAACCACATTGTGCCTAATATGCAATTTTTTTCCTGTCTTTTCCCACCAGAATATAAGCTTCGTAAGAGTAAAGATTTTTCTCTGGTTTCATTCAGTGCTTCATCCTCACTGCAGGCTACAGTGCCTGGTACATCACAGGCACTCAATAAATGATGAATGAATGAACAAAGGTTCTGTGCTAACTGCCTTAAAGCATATTATGAAGGATAAAAAGAACGGGCAAAAATTAAATTATTATCAGGCCATTGTCGAATGGGGCCTGCGTGACATGCTCTGCCAAACTTCTTCAGCATCTCTGTTTGCTTTGCATTCCTGCCAAAAAGTAATGCCGGCCTGGAGCTGTGGAGCAGGGGCGGACAGGGCGCGCTCCAGGCCCCTGGCCTCCGGGCCGGGACACAAAAAGCCTGAAGCAACGTGGGGAAGAGCCCCGGCCGAGGACAAGGGCCGGCACTGTCCCTCTCTCGCTGGCGTTTATGGAAGGAAGTCTGGCAGTCTGTCTTTAAGTAAACAGACTTGCTTTAATGCAGCAATCTGTCAAAATAAGCTGGGCTGCTTAGAGGGGCCCGAGGAGGTGCCTCCCCGCTTGCGTCTCCCAGGGAGCTATTCATTTGAGGAGGAGGACAAATGAGAGCGGGGCAGAAGCCTGCGGTAATGACACTCAAAGCGAGAAAGATAATAGCGTGTGGCTTACAAGGGGCTCATCTTCACTCGAGGTAGACACGGGGCTTGTGTGTTTAAAGAGCCGGCCCTGCCTTTCGCATCTCAAACACGCCCGCCGAGGGAGCCGACGGAAGGACGGACGGACGGACGGACGCTGAACCGCTGGCACCGGCGGGGACCTTCTACTTAGCGGGTTTTGCAAGAACAGGGGAGGGAACAATGAACAGATTAATGATCAAAAGTTTAGTCTCTAAGGGTTTTCTCCCTCTCTACTCATGTAGGGGTGACAAAACCACTAATCTGCTTCATCTCCACGCAGCACTCAATAAATGAGTAACATGTTTACATCGTGAGATGTGTGGGGTGGGACCGGGGTGCAGAGGGGCGTGGGGGGAAGAAATTACCAAATACTCGCATGAAGACTCATATTTTGGACTTTGCTCACAATATTCACTGCTTGTGAAACGACACAATGAAAGGACCAGGTGTAGCTTAACCCTTTTAGTTTGTGCCAGAACCTTGAATTCTTTGGAAAGAAGAAAAGGATTTAATGTAAACTGCAAACGCTTTAATCAAGTGGCTTTCTTCACATACCATGAAAGCATTTTGAAACATTCAAGTTAAAAAAAATTCCCTTATTTTCTGAAAATATAACCTCTTAAACGCCAAGGACACTGCCAGACCAAGTTCCATCAAGTAACAAGGCACAATAAGCAGCTTAAAATAGGTAAGGCTTAAGTTACATTTTTATGAATAAGCTCACTTTTGTTGTTATGGTCTCAATCCTTAAATGATCCTATCTCGTGCATGGAAGGTATCTCCTTGTTAAATTATACATTAATGTTCTCCGTGTGGGTCCCAGTGAGACCCAAAATGTCCCCAGGGCTCACCAACCTTTGGAAATAACTACATCAATAGCAGTAATTCAAAGTTTGCTCACTCATTGTCCCCACCTGCAGGGCCCTCCCCTCACCCCCACCAGGTGCTCCTGAGCTGCCGGACTCGTCTCGCGTGCAGACGGGAAGTCCGCACCTGCTCCCTCCATGTGAGCACGGGTGCTGCCCCGCTACTGGCATCTTCTGAGGGGGGAGCCATTCCCAAAAGCCCTTCTTGCCCAGTGCTCTCCCCAGGCTCCCAAATCTGCAAAACACACCAGCTACCAAAGAGACGCACATCCCCTTCAAGACTCAGGTCTGCGCCACGCTGGTTCTGCATCAAAAATGCCAGAGGGCCGCATATTCCAGCTCCATGTCCCACTTTGTTTCTTGGGCCTTAAAACAGCCTGACTTGTGCCCCACAGCTCACAAAATCTTCCGTGAGAACACTTTCATCGCTTCTGCCTTCTGCTTCTCTCTCCACCTATTTCAGATCAAGGCCCTGGGAGTAGAATAAACACCCCTCCTCCATCACCCAAAGGAGCGCAGATGTCCTCCTTCCAAGAAATATTAAAGTCCCCCATGCGATTAAGTCCTCCGGGGCCTTCCCTCCCATTTGACAAAAATGCCAAGATGTACTTGAACCTTAACCAGAGAGGGTCTAATCCTCTCTCACTCGGTCTCTCACACCCAGGCACCTGG